TTCTACTATCCGTGATGATCCGATAGGAAGTAACCACTATGCATCAATGCAATACTTGAACTATGACGTTCCAGACGTGAGAACGTAGAGCTCTAGACATCATTTTTTGTTCTGTCAGCAGTAGTGAATGATATTTGCAATTATGAGCGAAACAGTGGAAAGCTATACATTAGCAACTAGCGTCGATGATTACACTAAAACACACTACAGCGATTAAGAGATTCACACTTTGCGAATAACTATAGTCAAGTAACAGGAAACCACACCAGCATCATTTTCAATATGTTGTGAAATATTTTAGGTAACTAACTAACTAACTAACTCAATGTATTACGAAGTGTGCATGAAATGAACCATCTTGAATATTCTATTACAAAAACAGCATGAACTACTTGTAAATGATAACTGACTTTTTTATTTGTATTTTAGTATCATTCGCTTTGCCGCATAGATTATACATTTAGTAGTCAGTCATATTACCGAAGGCTATTTTTTGATTAATAAAGTAAGCTGTAAGTTAAACTGAAGATTCTTTAACTACAATAAGATTTATCTTCAAATTATCGTCAAAATTCACATATTACTACTTCCTACAAATCCCCGGTGAATATAATAAGTATGATACAGACTAGTATTTGAAATTAAAAGAGTTTGCCTGGTTAGTCAAAACACTGTAATCTTTGTCAAAGCAGATGTGAAAGCAATGGATACTAATAGATTCCGTCATCATTTAGCAAAGATATAAGGAAAAGAAACACATTACTTTTGTGAAGAATAGTAATCACATTGGGATGCTTTCATTCACTACTCAATGGTATCTTTTGTTTCAAATGAACAGTAAGGAAAACTGGCCATTTTCCTGTGAAGGTTTTAGAAAGCACCTCATTTCGACAACTGACTTTATAGTGAATCCATAAAAGCCATGGAACTCAACATACAGCAGATTGTGTCTGCATGGTTCACGGTGGCATTTCTCACACTGAAATAGTTTTAGAACCACTCGACTTTGAAATCACATTGGTTTCAGTGAGAAACCACCTCACCAAGACGACAAGTGTTATATAACATAAAAGTGTAGTGAATTTCGCTCCTGAACAATATGCGTAGCTATGATCATTGCCTATAGTGATCTTGAGGTTGGAAATATGGACAATGAAATTTATCGGTATTTTGTACATTCTTCATCCATTTTATCGTATGTCAGTTCATTCAAGTCTGACGCGAAGTCTAGGTACTCTCAACAGTTTGGTTGTGTGAAGTATATTTTTCAAGGGACACTGCTATAAAACTTCACTGCGAATGAATTTCACCGTTGTCTGATATTCCAATTACACTGATCTGACAAATAAAAACGACCAACTAGATTGTGTTTCCAGTCAGTTTAGTCAACAAAAAAAATATTATTTTTATTAACTACTTGATCATGTTCTGCGGTTCTGTGTCCGTATTGTTTCATAAAAGAATAAATGTATGTTGACGACAGTTAGTTGGTAATATTGAGTGTTCGGTGATTCTCTTCTGAAAAGACATATATGAAAGGCAATATCTGGCTTAAATATTATTATTAATATTACATTATTCCCTTTGTTAATCGTCGTAGTGACTCAAGGGTAACATGCTGGCCACGGAACCTGAAGGTTGCGGGTTCGATCCCTGGTGGGGCTGTGGGTGCGCACTGTTGAGGAGTCCCATACTAGGACGAAAACAGCTGTCCAGTTCTCCCATGCTTCCATTGTTCCTCTAAATGATGTCAGTCTGCGATGAATACCAACTGGGAATATCTCTAAATCCCCACAAACCCCCAAATTTAGTTGATTTTTACTCCCAGAAGTAACTGTTATGTATGAATAGATTTTTGTCATTCGGTTAATTTATTGCTTAGTCGAACAAACGTCTACTGCGAATCCACATTCCTCATATGATTTCAGCTATTTTGACTGTTAACAAACCTCAAAATTGTTAACAAGTAGTTGTTTATTTTCGCTTCTTGATTCTCAGTGTAATTGCAATGAACTTTCCTAACAAGATCTTCATGACTTGAGGTCGTATAGTATTTGTAGTTCATAAAAGTTAGTTGTGGATTCAGATAGATAATTTTCGTATGTGGGTGACAACCATTCCACTGAGCATAGCAATAAGGAAGATCATAGATTATATTTCAATAAAAATAATAATAATTCACTTTATTCCAAACAATTTGTGGTACAATTTGGAATTCTCAGCTTAAGTATTAGACAGAAGCCGCTGAATTAAAGTCACAAATTATTGTGAATAGCTTTATCGAGGTAATTTGTCGCGCTTGGAACTGTAATTTCACCATTTTTAAGAGTTCTTTTTTGTTGATTAACATTATATCGAAAATTCATTCACCTTCTGTTTACCTATTTTTGATAGGGTAGAATGTTTCGAATTTCAGGTTGTCGTGCTTAATTCCCCATACCCCATTTTTAAGATGTTGACTGGGTTGGTAAAGTTTTCTGGGATTTATCTTTCTTGATCTGTTTACAATTTAAGTGGAGCCTATTTTCTCCATTCTTTGTTTCAGTTCAGTGGTGTAGTGGCCTTGATGAAAAACACTGGTTACGCATTGTTTTAACATCCCAATGCTATAACTTCATTATATAGAAAATTTAACTTCTTACGGTGGTACAGATTCCTTTCATTCACTCGGTATTATATTCATTGGTTCTGCGAATTAAAGACATAAACAGTTCACCTGTACATCATGATGGTAGTTACGAAACTGGATTTTTTCACCTGACATTTGAATCTAGAATTGGAGCGACACTGAATACTTGAGAGTAGTTAAATTCCGTAGATCAGTGGTTACAGCCTACAAGTTTTCTTTTTCCGCTTAAATAATCATTGTGCAATAACTTATCATAGGATATCCTCGATTGATTTACATTACAAAGATAATATTATATTTCCGGAATGTCTTACACTCGACTAATATTAATGATCTATTTTACTTTGCTGAATGGACATTTATCAATCTCTTCTTGTAATTTGTTGTCTTGTGATTGTAAGCATATATGAGATAATATTCAAATGAAGAAAGACATAAACTTCACATTGACAAATTATTATCCTATGTTATACACAGTTTTATGACTCCTCCTAAAGCATACAATGTTGTAACGTTTATCAGAAGATATCACTACCGAACAACCTCAGTAGTTAGAAACCACTCTGGCTGATCTGGAGTATTTCGTCAGTCAGATCAGAGTGTTCTTAACACAGGACTGCCATTTCACTCGTTTAGTATGCCTGAACAAATCAAGTTCATAGAGCCGAATTACTTCAAACCACCTGATTTGGTCAGGTGACTTTCATAAGCCAGTATACCTAAAAAAGGATGATTAATCTGCAAATGACTTACAAATTGCACGGTCCACGTTGGCATTTCTCAAAGCTGGGTAATTTTTCAACTGTTCATCTGTGGTGTCAACAAGGTTTCCACTGGAAACAACTCAACCCAGACCACAAGATATGACCTCTGACACAAGTGTCATGAACCAGCGAAAGATACTACTGCTGAACAACCTAAGTAATTAGAAGCCACTCAAGCTGACCTGTCGTATTTCGCCAGACAAATTAGAGTGAATTAAACACCGGATGGCCGTTTAGTTCGTTTGAGACTGAGCTCATCAACATTTTTCACTTAGAACGACTGTCAAACTTCCTAGTTAAAGAAAGTGCTCTTTTGTTGCTAGCTGTTGTCTATTGACAACATATTTTATTGAATCTCAGCAGCTGGAAATATAAAAAAACAAGCTAAAGTCTTTTAAAATTTTACGCACTCCATTTCTTACTTGATTTTACAGATGACACTGTTTACTAATTATTTTCATCTGATTAACTGGTATCGGCTGACTGATTATAAATTTCGTGACATCCTACTTGTTTGTTGTCATCTTTATCTCCTCCCTTCCTGATTCTCATAGTGACTGAGCGAGATACCATAGCCGTAATTACACAAGATATTCCAAGCCAACCCATCCCTCGCTTTACTAAACTTTCACATATTTTAGACGGAAAACTGTCTATAACTGGTTAGTGCAAAGTGTTTACTTGATTTAAGTAGGTAGCTGTTGCACTTTTTTCCATGTGATTTCCGTCATATATACTGGTCCACACACTATACCCCCTAGAATAAGCTGAATTGCTGTTGAATAAATACTTTTTGTATATGGTGGATGTATCATAAGTCTCACGTTTTACAATTTCATCAAAGATGATACTAAATTTTTCACAAAACACTACGCTTTGTTTTCATGTATCCAGTATCGAAGCTGTAACTGAAACACTCTCATAATAAAAATGTGTGATCAAAGAGATTCAGTCTAGTTTTTTTTTGATGAATTTAACTGCAGGTTCCATCACTAAATGAAAGTAAGCCAAATGCATCAAGCTTGTGATTGTGTAAAATGTTGCATATCTACATTTATCTACAAACTGGATTCACCTACAGCAAATCCAGTTTGTAATGAAACTGTATTCAAAACAATGATCGATTTGGGAAGTCTTAAATAAAGTTATTTAGTTAGCATATTTAATCGTTTCGAGTGTTTCTATTCATGCTGAAACGAACGTCAAATGAATATTACACGTCATCAGATATATCACACATTCGACCAATCAGATCACCGCATGTTATAATAATAACAATAATAACAGTAATAATAATAATAATAATAATAATAATAATAATAATAATAAACTGTATGCGCAGATTTTTTTTGATCTACTTTAATCTACATAAATACACATCACTGAACAGAGTAAAGTTCACTCAATTTCATATATAATCTTGTATATTCATAGATTAATTTATATTTTTGTTGTGACCAAGCATCTTATTTACGTCTGTACAAATACCACATAATTAGTTTAAAATAATTAATAACTACTACTGAATGCAAATTTTGCCATCAGTGAAACTGTAAAAGTCTTGCAACTGTCTAAAAGTATTGTTTGCATTGTAAAAACAATATAATATGGAAGAAAGAGAAGATTTTGCATCAGAAGATATGAATATTCGCCACCGAAGTAGTAAAACAAATCTTGATGAAGATATAAGATGTTCACAGTCATCGGTAATGCCATCAATGGCAACATCAACACTGACATTAGCAAAATTAACTCCATCTACAATTCAACACCAAACATTGTTACAAGTGAATACACACAGTACAGACAATGATAAACAGAAATTAATACATGATGTTGTATGGTGTGACCTAGCTGAACAATTTCGATTAAATCTAATTGCTCAGCTTGACGATCACTTGAAAGTGTCATTAAGTGATTTAGTTACTACAGCTATCTCCAGGGAGAACAATCTACAAAGTACACAAACAATGAATGACTGGATGACAGACAAGTAAGTTTACACCGTTTGTTCCCTATTTTCTAATTATTTATAAGATTTAATCGGAGTAAGTAAATTTTATGTACTACATTGTTGATAGTTGATTCCGCATTCTGAAATGGTCTTGGCTGGCTGAAGAGGAACTGAAATCTAGTTAGAAGTTTGATCGCCTAGCTCACTGAGTAGCCTGAAAGTTATATGTTCTAACCCTACCATAACATTCTTTGTTCAACCACACTGTGGCTCTGTTGCACAAAATATTATTGATCTCAAATTACTTATTGTCCTTATCTCCACCCTTTAGCTCAGTAGTATTGTGTCTATCATGAGATAAGGCGTTTGAAGCATACATATTTCTGTGCGATTCAAGAAATAATCACGTATTCTCATTTCTCCTGAAATCTGAACTATGAAGAAAAAGCTCTTCACTTCCTTATGATGTTAGTTATTCTTCAACTGTTGTTGGCTACTGACAAAATATATCTCTACGATAATACTTTTTCGAAAAAAAGTGTTTACTTCAAGTCAGACTAGATGTGATTGATTTTAAACTAAACAAGTAGCTGTCTTTTGAAAATTATATTTGTGGTCCTACGCCGGTCATGAATCATATTGTATCTATCAGCGAATGCATATATGACAGTTAAATTAAGTAATACGAAATATGAGTACATTCTGATATCGAGGTCCTATAAGTAATCACCAAAAACTATTAGACCAAGGATTTAAAATGGTGAGTACTTGAAAGTCAAGGGTATCTACAACTTTGACGAAATTAATGCTTTGTCAGGCGTTCAAACACATTTCACAGAATATCGTAGTCAGGGAAGTTACGGCCAAACTAGTAGGATAGTATGAAATGCAGATGAAGAGATTTCTGCTGAGTACCTTCAGAATTCCCTATGTAACATGACTTACGTCAGTACAAACACCACTGCGATGTTAACTGACAAAACCCATTCAGGCTTTAGAGACAAGAAATGTCTCTGGTTACTGTCTAGCTGCCAATCAACCAAGAAACTAATGGAGTGCAGAATATATACAACGAATCTTTAAGGTTAGGTCGGAAACCCTCAGAAGTATGCGCTTTAAGTTTCACTCACAAAAAGTTTTTTCCAGCAGGATCGAACTAATTTGTTGAACGACAGAGAACCTTAAATGATGTGAAATCAATCTTATGGGTAGAGGACAAAGTGGAAGGAACAAAAGTCTAATGTTCATCCACTTTTAAGGGTTCCTTATCTGTATAAAGAGTACTGACTAAAATGATCTATTCTGTTGAATGCTTCAAATCAGAATACTACCTTAAAGTGTTTAGACATCAGGTGGAAATGATGACCACCGCAATAATTTTTAGTCCGTGGTTTACAGAACTTTGGAATTCCACTGATATCTTACATCGTTGTGGGAAACTGATACACTGTCACACGACTCCAAGGAAAAAACTTTTTTATGAAATTGAATAAACCAATTTCCACTACTTCAGTGGAATGATTCATAAAGATTAAACTGAAATTGATTTCTGGACTGTGATCGGGTTTTCTAACTATGTTTGTAATGAATCTCGGTAGCAACCTGAAGCAGAGGTAGGAATTCAGATTCTACTCTAGTCGAAAAACACAGGATTGCGTCTCCATTTTCACTAGCCATAAGGGAAAATATCATTCGTCAATCCATTAGGTGATTTTTTGCCTATTTGAAACAAGACAGAGATTATGAATCATTCTAGAAGTGCATAGTTATTCTAAATATACCGTTTAAATCAACATACACTGTAGAAAAAAATACAAATCTCTAGTTCACAATATTACCGGATACCTCTCTAAGTTGACACTCTATAAGATATTCAATAAGTATATGCATCTCTAAATATGTGTAGTATTAATAAAATTTGTCTTATACGCTCAGCTTTTGAAATATTTTGTCTAGCCAACTGCTACTACATAAATAATCAATAAATATGTCCTATTAAAATCTCTCAGTGCACACAGACTTGTAAAAAAACTTCAGTTTTATAACGCATTTCTAAAAGTTTCATTTTCTTTCTACTAATTAACAGTATTGTTATTCAGTTCAGCATAGATTATTTCTGACCTTTTAATTTCAGTCACAATATATACATGTCACTTCACTGTAACATAAAACCTATTTTTAACTTAATGAAGATTTTTGATTTTAACGTAGTACTCATCACGGAATGACATCAGTTAGGCAACCGTTGGAAACCTGTGACCACCAGACAGCTGTTTCATACTAGTATGGGACTCCTCAACAATACACACCCACTACCCGGCTAACAATCGAACCAAAGACCTTCAGGTTTCACGGCGAGCTCGTCAATCATTCAGTCACTGGGTTGGAACTCAGTAGTTCACAGTTTCCTACTTCTATCGATTCACGATATAGTGTGACTATCAACTATCAACCAATAGTCTTCGGCTGGCATCCGCTTTACTTCCGACTGGTTGACCCCATTGTTCACGGCTTCTCATTAGAACTTCGTGATATATCCATCTGGAAGTATGTCACTAATGAGCACTATACAGTAATTTATTTTGAGGTTAATGAGGAAATCAATTTTTCGGTTGCATTCATCGCGGGCTGACTGTCATGGGTGCGTACTTTTAAGGAGTCCCATACTAAGCCGAAATAGCCGTCCAGTGCTCCGACGTTTTCAATGGTTACCAACTGATGTCAGTCTGTGACGAATACTACCTTAAAAATAAAATCTATTGTTTGCCTGTTTCACACCACGTCTTAGCATAATTTCCTGTTTGTCTTTGTTCGTGATATACTTTGCGTCATCAAAGTATTGATTCGAAAGATGTCAGTTGCAGTTGTGAAGTCATGATACTTTTGAAATTTATGAATCCTTAATTATACAATGTGACTTATTTCACTTTCAAATGATATCCGTAAATAGATCAGTTATATTCAGTGCATGATTTACTTATTTGTCAGTGATATCATATTTATTCAGACTAACAAGTTACTGTTTACCATTAAACATTGTCTATGGTTAAAATTCCGCCGAATTTAAGCACTCATTACTGATGCATTTCTGGAATACACGATAAATGATTATTTCCGATGATTAACAAAACTATTCTTACTACCAAACTATGACTGTTAGATCAGTAGTACGAAGAGGTAGTTGCTGTAGCTGCAAATCACATGCACTGTCTTGATGTTTCTATATAGTGAGATGAAAGTTCGATTTATTTGTGGTGTCTGTTAACAGGTCTTACTGCTAACCTAACCTGGCAAGCATTTTAATATTTCAACTTGTCTAACAACGAATTTAATAAGGCATTAAGAAAACAAATATTACGAGATGTTATCATTTACGTGTTTCTCCGCATTTACATAGACAGACAGACAAAATCATTTTAGAACCCCGCACACAAGTGCATCGGTTCTAGTTACCACACTTTATATTAGTACACAAAGAACAGGTGGATAGAAGAAGAGTGATAACAAAGTGGACAAAGTTGTAGGACAGAATAAGCAATTTGAAGGTTAGTGCAAATATCCAAGTTTTAGATGAACCCGAGGAGTAAATCCATCTATGTTGTTGTAAGTTATTTTCAGCCATGTCACCAAGAGTCCTCAACTACTGGTTCCTATCGTCTCTGGGACCCCATTCAGGCAATCTACATCTTCCCACACTAATAACAATGAATTATCAATGTAAGTCACCTAAAAGTACTACTGAATGATAAAAATCGGTAGCAGGATAACAGGACGTATGCAGTTTATTGAAGTGCATCATTAACTTTACTTAGAGTCAGAAGATCAGGCATCAGATGTATTACTTTCCTGCGTTTAGTTTCAAACAACAGTCCAGGACACGTCCCTTGAAGATGGTTATCATATACTGAAATCTGAATAGATCTTAGTGTTTTTGCCAAAATTCTTTCCCTTCATTATTGTTAGTGATTAGCTATGAAATAGCATTATCTTCTCACCACAGTACTAGTAAGAATGTGAGTGTATAATAGCTTTTTCGGCACACTGAAGAATGTGTGGAGTATCATAATCAAAAGTTCATTCAGCGTGATATTCAGTAATTAAGATTCATTTGATTCAACATTAGAATTTTACAAATGTATATACTCAAGAATGATACACGGATTCATATCCATGACCAGTTGAAAACAACTGAAGAAAAGCCCCTCAGTTGCTCAATTTCCTGCATCCAAAACATAAAATCGAAGTTGAAGTCAACACCCATTTATTAGTGGCGAACATTTTGAGATCTTTACTTCTAAAAAGTTGAATTAAAGTCAGTGACCCAAATGACTTTCGTAAAATAGTTGTCGATGTACGCAATGCAGTAAAGTATACCCAGTCTAACGGTTAGTACCCTTTAAACCCTTAGTTAGTTTTCCTTAAGCATATGAACATCTAAAGTTTGACTTCAGTCGACCTTTAAATGCTTTCATCATCGTCTTACAGGAAAAAGCTACTAAACACATGATTTCTGACTGACGTCTGTGACCAAGAAATAATTTGTGGTATTTAGAGTGGATTTTGTAAACTGTCTAGTCGGGGTGAACATTAAGCTTGGATTGCTTTCTCTAATTGCTTATTTGAAGTTAAACTATAAGAGAGTTTTGGAAAGTTCAAAGGAGGATTATATCACCTTAAGGTTTTACTAAGTAAATAAGAGTAGTTTAAATACACCGAGCACATTAGTGTTGTGCCCAAAACAATCCACCCAATAGATACGAATAGTTCAATTCACCTGATTTCGGCAAGTTAGGCAGTTTAAGACTATCCAGCTGTAAGAAATGCAGTGTACACTGTATGCTTCTGAAATAAATTTCAAAATTCTCCATGATCAATCCCTATGATATACAAGAAACGATTGTACACTGAATATTTGGTCTGTTACCTACAGCTCAGCCTAATATACGTATTTGAGTAAATAGAATTCACTTTACAAATATTTAGTTGAATGAAATTATCGTCACTGTGATGATGCTAGAATAAGCACGCGTGTTTATTTT